CTGAGCGCACTACTGCCGACTCTGATAACATTCTCTCGCTTGGTCCTTGGGAACATCGCGACGACATTGATTACACCAACGATACAGTTCCACGTGAGGGAGTTGTCCCGACGTCTTCAACCACAACTGCCGCCGTCATGTTGACCTTCGACGATCAAGGCTTGAATGATGTTCAGTCCTCCCGAGAGTACATGGCTGCTGTTGAAGGTTGGGGTGATCCGACGAACATGCCGACTGATGACGGCACCTGGGGGGCTGACGAACCCGATGCAACAACTTGGGGCGAGACGCCTGCTGAACGCGATGCTCGTCTTCTCGCTGAAGCTGAGCAACGCGTCGCTGATATGGAGATTCTTGATTCGGGTCGTCTCGTTGGAGTTGAACCTGTACCTGCAGCATCCGATCAAGAAAGCGGCGAGCTAGTACTTGCTCCAGGCGAGTAAGTGGATGTTGAGGTTCGTGTTCCACCACCAAATCTTACTCGTTACTTCGCACCTGCTTTCGATCAGATCCGCTCCAGTGGTCATCAGCTTTTGTTGTCGTTCTTCGCTAACGCCGAGTATTACCTGCGCGCACAAGGTCACAAAGCCACGGGAGAAACATGGCATAAGCGACTTGGTCATCCGTCGCAGTCTACGCTAAACAACACGATCAAGGCTGCAGTGCTTGACAAGAATTCGTTACTCTTACCGAGCGGTCTCGAACTGAAGCCGGTGAATCGCCCGGCACCCTGCACCATCTGCCCTGCGGCGAACCTACCGCACGAGCCGTTCCCGACTCATTTCCCTGGAGCTGAAGATTATCACCTGATGGATAAGGTTTACAGCGATATACTCAACTTACCTACGGATGGTTTCAACGGCGAGCGCTACGTTATCACATTTACAGAAGCTTCTACTCGTTACGTTTGGACTGGAAACATGACTAACCGTTTTCTTGCGTTTACAGCTTTTCGCACCTGGCTTCCTCTCGCCGAACGAGAGTCTGATACTAAGCTAAAGGCATTTCAGTGTGACGGCGCCGGCGAGTATCGCAGTAACGAGTTCACGACCCACCTGCAAGAACGCGGAATAAGACGACTTTTTTCGTTGCCTCACGCTCATCAGCAGAGTGGCGTAGCTGAGCGGCTCAACAGGACTCTGCAAGAGAAGATGCGAGCCCTTCTTGCCCAGGCTCAACTCAGCCCACTCTATTGGCCTTTCGCCATGGACCATGCAACGGTGTTGCACAATCTTCTTTCGTCCTCGGCCCTGCCCAACCACGCCTCACCCTACTTGCTGTGGACGGGCAAGTTGGGTACCACTAAATTACTTCGTGTTTTCGGGTGTGTTGTTCAGTACCGTCCTCCTACCGCTCCGCTCGGGAAGTTCGATCAGCGTGCTAAGTGGGGGCTGCATCTCGGCATTGAAAAACAATATCTTGCCTGGAGTATCATGGATTACCGCAGTCGTCTCCTTGTTCCTGCTCGCGACTGTATTTTCTACGAGAATCTGACGCTGCCCGTCTTCGAACAGCTTCTTGCCACGCAACAAAACCCTGCCACGCTTTTCCACGGTGTTCGTTCATTCGCTAGCGCCGACACCGAACTTGCTGCCAACAAAGAACCTGACTCCGACGGTGCACGTGAAGCTGCACCCGACCCACCTGTCCCTGTCACGTCTTCTGGAATTCCGGAGTTTATTCCTCTTGCTCACGCGGCACCTGAGGATGTTCGCGATGTTCATCGTACTTACCTCGTGGATGAACAGCGCCAACCAATGCCGGTGGTTTCCGATAGCAGCATCCGTGTCAACCCTGACGAAATTGGGGGGGCAAGTGGAGACCAGAATGATTCTGTCAATTTCGCAGGTCGCACCAACGATAATCCGCATTATCAGACCGGACTGCAAATTCTGGGACTCGCAGCAGCGGTACAGCACAGTTCTACAGTGAATTTGGAGCTGAAAACTGCCCGACAAGCTCTCTCAGGGCCTCATCGCGAAAAATGGCGTGAAGCGATGGATCGCGAACTGGCTGCCCTGGAGAAAAGGGAAACTTGGGATCTAATACCCATTGAAAAAACGGTAAACAAAAATGTTCTTACCGGTAAGTGGGTCTTCAGGGTAAAGACGAAAGCGGATGGTACTTACGAGAAACACAAAGCACGGTGGGTGGTTCGCGGTTTTGATCAGACTCATGGGGTTGACTACACGCTTACTTTCGCTCCGGTCAGTCGACATACGAGTGTTCGACTCGTTCTCTGCGAAGCAGCCGCGAAGAATTTTCCACTTCGACAAATCGATGTTTCCAACGCTTTTCTGTACGCCGACGTCGATGCCGAAATCTACGTCGAATATCCGCACACCTATCCGACAAATCCGCCAAGTGTCTGCAAACTCAAAAAGTCACTGTACGGAATCAAACAAGCACCGCGACTGTGGCAGCAGCATTTGAACAAGAAGCTGACGGAGGTTGGATTTCGACAACTGCCGCACGATCCCGGGATGTACCAACTAGACGACAAGGGGAGCTATGCGTTGTTAGTGGCTTACGTGGATGACATCCTCTACGTCAGTTCATCGACTTCGCTGGGTGATCGCATCGAAGCCGATCTGAAGAAATCGCTTGACTTAACCATTTCCACCAAAGTAACTCAATTTCTGGGGTTAAACGTTTCGCAAACTTCTTCCGCTATTCATCTCACGGCTTCGAAGTATGCGGAGTCACTCGCTAAGCGTTTCAATATCTCCACGGATTTCGTTGCTACACCTTATCGGTCTACACTCACCGGGCACGTTCCCAACCTGAAAATTTTGTCAGCAGCTGGTCTTCAACTGTATCAGCAGCAGCTGGGATGTCTCCTTTTCGCAGCAGTCACCTGTCGCCCTGATCTTGCCTACGTCGCAAGTCACCTTGCGCAGTTTCTACGCTGCCCGAAAGAAGAACACTCTCTTGACTTACAGCGTGCACTACGCTACTTCGTCTCTACACCAACAATCGGGTTGATTTTCAACGCTGGGAAGCCGACCGACAAAATGTACCTCAGCGGGTATGTTGACGCGGACCACGCTGGCGACACGTCAGATCGACGGTCACGCACGGGTTATATTTTTCGTCTCGAGCCGATTGGTCCGATCTCCTGGAACTCCTCGAAACAGGAACTCGTGTCACTTTCATCGGCTGAAGCAGAATTCATCGCCGCCTGTGCTGCAACTCGCGAAGGTCTGTACCTGCAGGAATTACTTGACGAAGCAAAATTCGTCACGCCGAATCAGTTCACGTTGCAGTGCGACAACCAGAGTGCAATTACCATCGCCAACAAGCCTGGTTTCGTCAATCGCACGAAGCACATTTCACTGCGTTACTTCTTCGTAAAAGACGCGATCGACAAGGGGAGAATGCGCCTTGTCTACTGCCCCACCACCGACATGGCCGCTGATTCGCTTACTAAGAAGCTGACACGTCAGAAATTTCATCACTGCAACCAGCTCAGTGGCATTTCCGAATCAATAGGGTGACTACACCGAACTCCTAGAAGTGAAGGGGAGTGTTGAGATAATATCGAGACTTGTGCACTTCAAGGAATTCGTGTAGTGTAGCACAGTAAAAGTACCGATAGGCTGACGTCAGCAAAGCGCTACGCGCCCTAGGATGACGTCAGCAATAGCTGTAGGTATCACGAATAGTCACGTACCGTTTCAGGCTAATAGGTACATTAGGCGAATAGGTACTTTATCCTAGTATATATTCTGTATGTTTGTCATTTCTTAATATACTTGATTTCAGAGACATTGATCCTGTTACAAGTCACTCATACAAGACTTCCACTGCTACAGGAAGCTACTATCCTAAGACTACGATCCTATTCAGACAGCTTAAATTCTAACAAATACAGTGTCGACTCGGGTAACTGCTCAGTATGGAGTCAGTTATGTGTCCTTGCTGTCGCACTGTACTTTTCGTCGAGTCAAAGGTCAGCGACCTTCGACCTTCGCGTAACCTCCAGCGGTTGCTTTTGTTGACTCGTGTTGCTTCACTGTAATCTGCTCCGTTTCGTGTCGATACTTCGATACTTCAGAAGCGTTTTAAGTTACTTGTTTCCAACAGGGCGATCGCAACAGTAGGGCTTCGGGAGGGACGCCATAAGCGAAATAGGAATCGGTGGGCCCATTTAGGTCCTAGGAGCGTAATTGCTCTATACCATGTTGAGATTACCGTAGGAGCTTGGGAGATGGAGCTAGGGAGATGGTATCGAGAAGGATCTGGCCAAAGAAGGGATTTCAATAAAGGCAAAGCATACAAGATATAACAAATGGGATGGGCAAAAGGGTACACCACCAGCAGTTGTTTCTAATAACTAACTAATACACGAGCAAGTTGTAAGCAGTTATACAGGATATGCAAATATACAATTCAACATGTACTACCTGTATTCATAATAACCGAAGCATACCGTATTATCCTGCACGGCAATCAGTGACATGCCGTAAAAGAACTAGTCTGGCAACAGAGACCATCTTCTCCACTATTTGTTTCCTCTATAATCCTCTTCCTCAATGGACCCGTAGCCCTTGCTCTTGCAACTGCCTACCAGAACCACGCTCTTTCATCCTCACTAATACTGCGTCCCTCTCCTGCTGCAACCTCACTTGCTGCCGGTGCAGCTCAGCAGCTCTCTCTGTCGCTTCCGCCTCCCTCCGACACAACGTACTGTGTTCCACCCTCAGCTTTGCAGCCTGTGTCACGACAAGGGGGTGGTGGGGGGTTTGGGGGGAGGGATTCGACGGGAACAAAAATGGTGATTAAATGCGCTGACACCATATCTCGCGCCAGTGTCCTGCTCTGTCCCATCCCGTGCCATGCAGAGGAATGCATGCACGGTTCTTTCAGCATGTCATCCTGATGTGGCACTTGGTTGCATACCTTTTACGAAGCACCAGCACTCCATTAGCAAATAATGAATTACCTCTCGTTCCCACAACCCATTCAGCCCGCATCCCCTCCCGTCTGTTCCCATCCCATCACATCAAACCCCATCCCATCCCACCCCACCCCACTACACCCCACTGCATCCCACCGCTCCCCACCCATTCGCTCACATCTATCTCCAGCTTATCCAGCAGCTGCTGGCGGCGAAGGCGACTGCGCTTGGCTGACTGCCGGTTGGAGTGCATCCTGCCCACGGGGAAGAGGCAAGGGGTGAGACGAAAAGGAGAGGAGACCAGGGGTAAGCAGACAGGGGAAGCGACAAGGGAACTGCAGGGGAGGGCAAGGGGGTAAGACGACAGGGGAGGGACAAAGGGGTAAGAAGTGACAAGGGGAAGAGTCCAGGGGGTCCGACAAACCGATACCCTCTTTCAGATGATAACGTGATGGAGTTTCAAAGGGAAATAATACAGAGAGGCAATTGTGGGCAGAGAGACGGTGGGAGGGTGAAGGGCGGAAATGGGCCAGCACAGTGGGCGGACCAACCCGTGTGATGCACTGACCTCCTCTGCTTGCGCTGATTCGTCACATCACCATCGCCATCATGCCCTTGATCGTAACCCTCATCACCCACCATGCCCTCCCCCCTACCGCCGCCCACCCCATGCCGCCCGCCACCTGCGGCAGCAGCAGTGACGGCGAGTGCAGAAGAGTTGGCAGGCAGAGGGTGGGGGGCAACGGTCGAGAAACCGAGCCCGTGTGTTGGTGGGGGTGCGGTGGCAGGCCACGGTGCTGGGACGAGGGGAGACGACTGGAAGGGCAGAGGAGACTGGAGTGGGGGCTGTGATGAGGACTGGGGTTGTGCAATAAGCAGCTGAGGCTGTGATGATAGTTGGGGCTGTGATATAAGCAGGCGGGGTTGTGATAGCAGCTGAGGCTGTGATAGTGTCTGGGGCTGTGATGTAAGCAACTGCGGCAAGGGCTGGGGCAAAGCGGGGAGACGGGGAGGAGAGGGCAGCGGTAGCAGGACGTGGGTGGAGGGGCGGTGGGGCAGCAGGTGCTGCCAGGGCAGTGGCAGCAGGGCAGTAGCAGGGAGGGCCACCATGGAAGGCGGAAGGATGGAGGGCGGAACTAACGAACCACCCACACCTGCTGCTGTTGCTGCGCCTGTTGACATGGCTGCGCCTGCGCATGCACCACCTGCTGCATCGGCTGCTATGCGTGCCTGCCCGCTCGTCCCTCCGGCTGGCGATTGTCTATGCAGCAGTTCCCGCGCTCGTTCCTGCTCCTGGGATGTGTGAGGCGTCTCAGCAGCAGCAGCACACTCTTGCGTCTGTGCGTGGGCGGTTTGATGGGGCGGCGCTGTCACTCCGCCACGCATCACTCCGCCCAGGCGGTCTATGCCAGTCGTTGCGCTCGCCAGTAGCGCCGGCGCGCCCACCATTATCCTGTTCCCCTCTGCGCTGCAGCCCTTCCATCCGCCCGTTCCGCCGGTACCCCCTGCAGCGGCAGGTTCTCTCGCAATCCCGCCAACGCTTGCGCGTTCAGCGGCGCCGTGCGCACTCGCGAATGCCCCCTCTGCCACCGGATGCGCACGCGGATACGCGGAGAGCCCACCGGGGCCTAGCTGAGGTATGCTTAGGGGATGAAGCTGGTTTTGCGGATCACCGAAAGGTTGGCGAGTCGTCGTCGTTGTCGTCGTCTTCGCAGTAGTATGGCCGATTTCGCTTCGCTGAGGCGACGGACGGCTGCCAGAAGCCGTTCTGCTCGTGATCGCAGCGCTCGACGCAGTCAGCGCGAAGGCCGGCGGCTTCCTCGCCGCGCGGCGTCGCGACGGTGCTCTCCTTGAAGCGCGGCTGAACGTCGCTGTTTTTTTCGACGCGCGTCGCGTACCCGACGTCCCGGTGCCGCCGCTGCCGCTGCCGCTGCCGCTGCCGCTGCCGCTGCCGCTGCCGCCGCCGCTGCCGCCGCCGCCACCGCTCCGATCCGTGGTTGCGCCGTCGCCGCTGCTGCCGGGATAATCGATTCCGTATGCCACAATTTCTCGGCCGCCAGCGAAGACGGCGGCGGCGTTTCCAGCACCATTTCGCGAATCGCCTACCACTGGCGAAATAAAACCGGCAGCGAATGGACGAGGAGAATCGAGAATGGTCGCATGCGATGATGAGACATTGTCAGGACGCGGCGATGTCATCGCGGCGAGCGATGATTGGTTCAACGTGGCGTGCGTGGCACGATGTTGGCTCGGCTCCGGCGCAAGGCTCCTGCGCGAACACCGAAGGTTGGAATAGGGGGAGGCGGGTAGGTGGGGAGATAGGGCGTGAGGAGGTGGGGATGAGGGGGGGACGCGGGGACGGGGGGAGGCGAGGACGCGGGAACGCGTCGGTGTGAGGACGCGGCAAGGTGGGGACGCGGGGAGATGGACGTGGGAACGGGGACTGCGAATAAGAAAGAAATGCTAAGCCTTTCCAAAACTTGGAGGATACAACGATCACCTGTGGAAGTGCGTGTGATTCAACCACGGGTTGGAGAGAGGAAGAGTTGGTTGGGCGCGGCGCGCAAGAATATATGGCGAGAAATGAAGAGACACGGAGGGACGGCGGCAGAGACGAGGAGGAGACGGCGGAAGTGAACGAAACGAGCCGTTGCGAGCACAGTGCATGGCACGGTTCGAGAGGGCTCTTCTTGGAATGCACGCGTACGGTAGCATGCGAGGGGTGTGGGAGGGAAGGCTCACTTGTGCATGTCGTGCATTTGTCGCTCGATGGCTTTCTCGATCGCCCAGATCGTCGTCATTCGGTCGTCATGCGACGGAAAAGTTACACGCGGAAGTCGTTTGGGGGAGCCGGCTTTGGTCTGGTCGCGTTTCATCACCTTGTGCCGCAAAGCGGATAGAGCGTCTGCAACTGTCCCTCGTGGGCTAGCCGCCGTCTCGCGTAGCTGCGCGCCCGCCATTACAGGCGGTACAATAGGCGGACGATGAGCTGCGCGACTAGTGAGCTTGCGCGCAGTCAAATAGACGGAATAAGAGTTTTTCACCGCTATCCCAACCCGATCATGAAAAGCGTTCCGATAAAGGCGCTGTCTGGTATCGATCGTAGGCTTGGCCCTTGGGAAGGTTCTCGTGGCGCCTTTGCGTGATCTCCGACTATTCTTATCTCAGGGTATGCGATGCAGGTGGATAATTTCATCTCTGACATTTGTTTGTTTGGGAAAGTAGAAGCTGCAACGAGCAGGAGGCAAAGAGAAGGGGCAGGGAGGGAGGTGTCAATGACGCATTCCTTTGATGAATCACTTATTTCCACATTCCTTCGAACGGACACTGATGCGGCCTTTCCGAATTGTGTGGGGTTTACGACTGCATACCCGAACAGGATAGTCTGAAATTCGAATACATCCAGTGACTCGAATACATACATTGGCAGTCTAGATGGATTTTCTTCGATGATGGACGGATGCTGAGGTTTCCTACACAATGTTTCGCTATTCAGGGTGTAGTGAGGTGAAGTACCCTGATCGAGAACCACCCGCTTTTGTTCGTTGGACCTATTGAAGGATGCAGCAAGTAGCACTCAATTGCAGCGCAGCGCTTTTCTGAATCAAGAATTTTGATTCCCACGTGGAGCTGGCGACCCGGCCTATGCCAGGCTGAGCTGGAAGCGCATGACGTGGTTTTATTGGTTTCCAGCAGCTGAGTCCAGCACGTCAGCAAAGAAATACAGCTTGCTGACGCCATGACACACGCCAACTACAGAGCTCCTTGACTCCATGGCAGCTTTAGGCATAGTTCGTAAATATTCCCCCAAGTATTTAGATTACAACTCTTGGGATGCTAAAACCCTCGTAAAGTACCATCAGGTGGCTGCAATCATGAACATGGTTGAGGACTTCCCATTTGTGATTGTTTTGTAAGCGGTCCTAGTGATTGTTTTGTAAGCGGTCGAGGATTTTTGCCGAGTTCTTTAACCCCGAAGAACTTCACGGCATAATGTCTGGAGTTGTACCTATGACATGACATACCCAGTTTCACAGCAAATAACGCAACGCAACACACTTCAAAATGGCACACCGTATCTTTGCACCAGCTGCTCGCAAAAAGGCAATCCCAAAAATATATTTGCTGATTTTGAGCAGGATCCGATATTAGCAGCTGACGTGTGGGAAACATGCAATAGAAACCTGTCAATTGCACAATTTGATATGTCTTGAACAATTGGCTACTAACGTCATCCAAGTTTGTGCAGCAACTCCTCTTCCTACACGAAATGGGCAGCATTGCAGTAAAGGATGCCCCAAAACCTGAAGGCTGACAGAAAGGACAAACAATGGATATCCAAGCCTTTTTCATTGCAATTGTGGACATGTTTGCGGCCTACATACACTTCCTTCGTTAACTTATTACATCCTTCATATAACTTCAATGGAATAAAAGGCCATTCCATAAGAAACCTTTCCCAAAGCATGCAATGACAATGCGCCATTTGCTTCAAAAGCGCTGCATGCCTTTAGACGGCCGGAAATTCATGGGATGAGTCTCGGGCGTAGCATTTTCATCCTTCCACATCTTGATGGTTTTACGGTATCTGCTTCTCACGTCGCAAGGTGCTTGCCCGTCATGTCAAAGCCCATCACATAGATGCCCACCTCGACGTCAAGCGACCCTGGGGAAGATGAACGGGGAAAACATAAATAGGGTACGGATGTGTCCAAGAGACGACACTGTTTGGTTGAAGTAGCAGAGGGCAGATTGATGCGTGAAGGATGCTTGGGTGGGTAGCGTAGCATGCAGATATGCGGAGGGGGCGAGGGTCGGGATAGATGGAGCCATTTGAGAGAGAAAACACAGATCCATGAGAGCAACAGAGACGTGTGGGGATGGGGATGATGGGGGACGATGACCAATGTCAATGCACGATGATGCGCGTCTGCTAGAAGTTATGTTCGCTCTTCCAATCCCAGAACCAGATGGACCCGTTGTCACCTGTGCAGAGAGTGGGGCATGTAGATGGACACCACACGGAAACATCAGAGAGAGTTCAATGAATAAGTGAGATGGTGGGATTCAGATCAGGCAGATTCAGGGCATTTTTTTGTGGAAAGGATGGTGCACGGGGACAAAGGAGGAAGTGGGTAGCTAGAGTACGAGAGCCTGAAAGGGGTGTCAATTAGGGATGGCGAAGTGGAAAACGGTGAAGGAGAGAGGGGCCGAGGAGCAGAGGAGAGGAACAGGGGAGCAGAAGAGAGAGAGGAGAAGAGGAGCAAAAGAGAAGAGGGACAGAGGAGAGAGGAGCATGTTAACGGGAGTTGTGGTTGGCCCCGTCCTCGCTTGGGCGGAGCCGACCTCGTGGGCGGGTGTGCGAGAGGTGCAGCCGACCTGCAGCAGTGGGCAAGCTGGTCGACGGGGCTGGTCGACCTGCGCGGGGGCCACTGCAAGGGCGCCAACTTCGGGAGGGCGCCGACTTCGGGAGGTCGACTTGGGAGGTCGACCTGTGGAGGGCATCGACTTGCTGACGCCGACTTGGGGAAGCCGACTTGGGTGGTCGGCTAAAAGGTGTGCTGGCCGACATGGAGCTGGCCGACCAGGTGCGCGGTCAAAATGGTGTGGTCGACCAGTGGTGGTCGTCGACCTGGGTGGTCGATGGGCACAAGGAGGAGCTGGTCGACGTCTTGGTTGCCCGGTCGACCAAGTTACCCGGGCGACGGGAATCTGCGGGGGTGTGCGATCGTCGCCCAGGTGGTTTTGGCGAGGCCCACCTCGGTGGTGGTATCCCGAGGTCGACGTGGCTGATCAGGTGTAGATGACAGCACGTGGACGATCTGGAGCTCTACGCTGTGCGGGTGACAAGGCATAGCACGCCAATCATATGCGAGCACCTGCGAAGCGGGTGCGTTGCTGACCTGAGGGTGCAACGCTGTGCAGCCGCCATGCTGCAGTGTTGGCACGCCGTCGACCTGCAGCGTTGGCAGACCGCGACATTGCGCTGCTGGAGCGCGGTCGACCTTGTCGTGCTGGAACGCGGTCGACCGTGCTGCGTTGGCAGTCGACTGAGTTGCATGCTAGCTCTGATGTAGTCAGTCTTGCCAACTTTGTTGCTATCATTCTGACCATTGTTCTCAACTTTTGCTAGTGAAACTCTTGCGGTTTTTCCCTATGAATGCACACGGGATAGAGAACGACTAAGGAACGAACGCAGAGATCACTCCTACCCCGTGCCTAGCCCGTAGACAACTCCCGTTGCTAGAGTTATCTCCGCATGGTGCGGTGAGCGTGGAGGACTGGGGTTCGATTCCTGCTGTCGGCGACTTTTTGTGCCCTAGTGGTGGGCCCTCCCAGTGAGGGAAGTGTTGGAAGTGGACACTGGAATGGCCCGAAGTGGTGACCAGGAGGCATCGTGCTCGCTGGTCGGTGTCGTGGAGCCGACCGTCTCGCTGGCGCCAGAGGCCGGCGAGGACTTCCAGGCGGTGGCGGGAGTTGTGCCGGCAAACCCGGCGGTGGTCCTGCTCGACAGCGGCTGCTCGCACTACCTGATGGGGACGAAGGATGCCTTCGTCGACCTGGAGCCAAGCGGCGATGTCAAACACGTGCGCGGCTTCAATGGGGCCCTGCAGGACGTTCGAGGCCGTGGCATTGTCTCTCTGCAAGGGGACGCCGGGAAGCATATGCTCATCCGTGATGTGCTTTACGTCTCGGGTGTGCAGGCGAACCTGCTGTTGGCCGGCCAGCCGAAGGAGAACGGCGTGAAGCTGCAAGAGGACGGGGACAGGATGCTCCTTGTCTCGGCGGCGGGGGACATGCTTGGTCGGGCGAAGTATACCGGTCGGGTCCTCTGCACTGACCTGTGTCCGTGCATGGCGACGTCGACGATGGACTCGTCGGAGGTGGTGGCTTTGCGGCCGATCGTCTCGGCGACGAAGTCGACGCCAACCAGGTGGCATGCGAGGCTTGCGCACGTCGGCATCGACACCATCACGAGCCTGGCGAAGCATGAGGTCGCCACTGGCCTGGACATGAAGCCGTCGGCTGGTGCGGAATCTCCGTGTGTCTCGTGCATTAGCGAGAAGCTGTCGCGGCACACCTTCCCCGACAAGGGCTCGGACGCCGAGGACGCCCTGGCTGTCGTGCACATCGACCTGTGCAGGCCATTTCGGGTGGCTGCCAAGGATGGCAGCCTGTACTTTTTGCTGCTGAAGGACCGCAAGACCCGCTACGTGTGGGAGAGGTTGGTCGCCAAGCAGTCGAACATGCTGCGGGAGTTCGTGCAGTGGCTGGTGATGGTTGAGCGGCAGGCGAAGAATTCGGTGCTGATGCTACACTCTGACCGGGGAGGGGAGTTCCTAGGGAAGGAGTTCACCGCCTTCGTGGATGGCAAGGGGATCGTCCATGACTTGACCTACCCGTACACCCCGCAGCAGAATGGCATGGCGGAGCGGGAGATGAGGACGGCGGTGGAGTCGGTGCGGACGATGCTGCTGCACATGGGCGTGCAGCACCACTGGTGGTACCTCGCTTTGCGGCAGGCCGTCTGGGTCCGCAACTGCCTTGAGAGGTCGTCGCTGCTGTCGGGGACGACGCCGTACCAACTACTCACTGGGAAGAAGCCCGACTTGTCACTGGCACGGGTGTGGGGCTGCATGGCGCAGTTCCTGGTCCCCAAGCAGCAACGTGTTGGGTAGCTGAAGCCGAAGGCCAGGTGGGGCCTCCATCTCGGCGTGTCGGAGGAGAGCAAGGGCTGGGAGCTCCTCGACCTCACCGACAACATGGTGGTCACCACGTCGGACGTGGTGTTCTATGAGATGATGTCGCTGGAGGTGTGGAAGTCGGAGCACGGGCCGGCGTTGGGGCGGACGCAGGTCAACCCGCCGACAGACACCTCGATGGCGACGCTCCCCTTGTTCGTCGAGGTCAGTGAGCTTGCTGATGAGGATGCCGAGGTCGTCCGCCCTTCTTCCCCTTCCCCTGCCCCTTCTGCCCCACCCCTTGTTGCCGATCTTCTGCCATTCATGTCGGCCAACGGCGATGAGGGGAGAAGTGGGGCGTCGCCTGTGGCGCCGGCCAAGAGCATCGCCGGTGGCCGACGTGATGTCCAGCGGTTCGACGTGAGAGTGAACTCGCCAACGACAGGGGAGCAGCGGGCAGAGGAGCTGCAACCAACTTTGGTGGAGTCGGTGACAGTGGAGCAGTCAGCAGTGAAGCCGACCAAGGAGCAGTCGTTGACCGGGCAGTCAGCAGGGGAGCCGATGGCAGGGGAGAAGTCGGCAGGGACGCCGACTGTGGTGCAGCAGGACGCTGAGGGCAGCGAAGACGGTGACGATCAGGGGAGCACACGGGCGCCGAGGAGTCTACCGACAGTGATGTCGTGGAGGTTCCGCCTGGACCACGACGTTCGGGCAGAGAACGGAGGCCGCCTGACTTCCTGTCCTACCACGCGTGTCTGCCGCCGGCTGCCTACACCACGGTGTAGGACGAGGTCAATGATGACCCGTTGTACGACGACGCCGAGGAAGACGTCGAGCTGCCAGAGCTCGACCCCGACATGCATGCCGACCCCGAGCGCCGTTGGGACATCGTGACGATGTTGGTGAAGGAGGCGTTGGTGAGCTGGAAGGGCAACGCGGTGAAGGCCGCCATGGACGAGGAGATCCACAGCCTCATCGACATGGGAACCTGGGAGCTGGTCGAACACCCACCCGGTGTAAACATCATGAAGAACTGGTGGGTGCTGATGACGAAGTACCGCATCGATGACATCGTCGAGCACGAGAAGGCGAGACTGGTCGTGAAGGGCTTCACGCAGGTGTATGGCGCCGATTACGACAAGATGTACGCGCCGGTGAGCAGCTACGTCACGCTGAGGATCTTCCTCAGCATCGTCGCCGTCCTCTACTTGCACCTGATGCATCTCGACATGAAGAACGCCTTCCTGCAGAGCAAGCTCGACCGGGTGCTGTACATGTACCAGCCGGACTACTCCAACGATGGGACCGGCCGGGTGTGCAAGCTACTGAAGAGCCTGTACAGGCTGAAGCACTCGCCGCTGTTGTGGAACAAAGCGCTCGACGACGTGCTGATGGGCGCCGGCTGGAAGAAGAGCCAAGTTGACCAGGCGCTGTACTTCAAGGTCGGCGGGGATGGCGTGGCCTGCTGGGTGCTGTTCTACGTCGACGACATGCTGGCCGCCAGCAGCAGCACGGCCATGCTGAAGGAGCTGAAGGAGCTACTGGAAGCCGCCTTCGAGCTGCGCGAGATCTCTCCGGTGGAGAGGTACCTCAGGCTGAAGATCGTGCGCGACAGGTCGGCGAGGAAGCTGTGGTTGCACTAGCAGAGCTACGCCGACAAGCTGCACAGGCGGTTCATCGACAAGGAGCAGACCAGGCGCACCTTAAAGTTGCCGATCTCGGTCGACGCCTATGCCGAGCTGACGTTCGACGACGAGGGGGCTCAGGAGCGCCAGGAGGAGGAGTACCGGCAGAAGGTCGGCTCGCTGCAGTTCGCGGCGACGACGACGAGGCCGGACATCGCCTTCGCCTGCAGCAAGCTGAGGAGCGGCCTCATAGTGAGGAGCGACCAGCACTGGCGGGAGGTCGACCGCTGCCTCGCCTACCTTGCCAACACGCGTGACAATGACTTGGAGTTCGGCGGTGGACCAGAGTCGCTGAAGCTGGTCGGCTACGTGGACGCAGATGACGCCGACGATAAGCAGAACCGGACAAGCACGGGCGGCTACGTGTTCGTCTACGGAGGGGCCACAGTCTGTTAGTTGAGCCAGCGCATCAAGTGCGCGACGCTGTCATCGACCGAGCCGGAGTACGTGGCGGCCACTGAAGCCGGCAAGGAGGGATGACGCCTTTGCTTCCTTCTTGCAGAATTCCGGCAGCTGGTCGTTGGGACACCGACTGTCCTTTGAGTGGACAACAAGTCAGCCATCACGGTCGCTGAGGGCATGGGGTTGACGGGCAACCTCAAGCACATGGAGCAGCGACATGCTTGGCTGCAGCACATGGTGAAGTGCGGGAAGTTTTCGCTGAAGCACTTCCCGACCACCGAGCAACCGGCTGACTTCCTGACGAAGGCGCTGCACTTTCCGGTCTTCAATCGGTGCTCTGTCGCAATCGGCCAAGTGCGCATGGCCGACGTGGGCGACAGTGACGACAATGTGCAGCAGTAGGTGCCATGCCCTCTTGCATGGCTGGTGCGGTGACCGGCGTGCTGTGTGCTGGGTGCACGCTGACGAGCTATTCTTCGAGTGGTGCTGCCGTGTGGGCTGGGGGCCCAAGCGTGGTTGGCCCCGTCCTCGTTTGGGCGGAGCCCACCTCGTGGGCGTGTGTGCGGGAGGTGCAGCCGACCTACAGCAGTGGGCGAGCTGGTCGACGAGGCTGGTCGACCTGCAAGGGCGCCGGCTTCGGGAGGGCGCCGACTTCGAGAGGTCGACTGGGGAGGTCGACTTGTGGAGGGCGTCGACTTGGTGACGCAGACTTGGGGAAGCCGACTTGGGTAGTCGGCTGAAAGGTGTGCTGGTTGACCTGGAGTTGGCCGACCAGGCGCGCGGTCGACTTGGTGTGGTCGACCAGTGGTGGTCGTCGACCTGGGTGGTCGATGGGTACAAGGAGGAGCTGCTCGACGTCGTCGTTGCCCGGTCTACCAAGTTACCCGGGCGACGGGAATCTGCGGGGGTGCGCGATCGTCGCCCAGGTGGTTTTGGCGAGGCCGACCTCGATGGCGGTATTCCGAGGTCGACGTGGCTGATCAGGTGCAGATGACAGCACGTGGACGATCTGGAGCTCTGCGCTGTGCGGGTGACAAGGCATAGCATGCCAATCATCTGCGAGCACCTGCAAAGCGGGTGCGCTGCTGTCTTGCGGGTGCGACACAGTGCAGCCGCCATGCTGCAGCGTTGGCACGCCGTCGACCTGCAGCGTTGGCAGACCGCGACATTGCACTGCTGTAGCACGGTCAACCTTGTCGTGCTGGAATGCGGTCGACCGTGCTGCGCTGGAAGTCGGCCGACTTGCATGCTAGCTCTGATGTAGTCAGTCTTGCCAACTTTGTTGCTATCATTCTGACCATTGTTCTCAACTTTTGCTAGTGAAACTCTTACGGTTTTGCCCTGTGAATGCACAAGTGCTAGAGAACGACTAAGGAACGAACGCAGAGATCACTCCTACCCCGTGCCTAGCCCGTAGACAGCTCCCGGTGCTAGAGTTATCTCTGCAGAGCAGAGGAGAGAGGAGTAGAGGAGAGGAGAGCAGAGGGGAGAGGATCAGAGGAGAAAGAAGCAGAGGAGAAAGAAGCAGAAGAGAGAGGAGTAGGGGAGAGAGGAGCAGGGGAGAGAGGAACAGAGGGGAGAGGATCAGAGGAGAGAGGAGCAAAGGAGAGAGGATCAGAGGAGAGAGGAGCAGAGGAGAAAGAATTAGAAGAGAGAGGATCAGGGGAGATAAGAGCAGAGGAGAGAGGGGCAGGGGAGCAAGGGATAGAGGAGAGGGCAAGGGGAGAGGTGTAGGGAGAGGGGCAGGGGAGAGGGGCAGGGGAGGGGGGCAGGGGAGAGGGGCAGGGGAGGGGGGCAGGGGAGAGGGGTAGTGGAGATGGGCAGGGGAGAGGAGCAGAGGAGAGAGGAGCAGAGGAGAGAGGGACAAGAGAGATAGGGGCAAGGGAGAGAGGAGCAGAGGAGAGAAAGGCAGGGGAGAAGGGCAGGGGAGAGAAGAGCAGAGGAGAGAAGGGCAAGGGAGAGAGGGGCAGGGGAGAGAGGAGCAGAGGAGAGAAAGGTAGGGGAGAGAGGGGCAGGGGAGAGAGGGGCAGGGGAGAGGGGCAGAGGGCCTTCCGAGGTGAGCATGTTTGTCCTCGTTCACATCTGCGGTGTTGAGGATGGTGCGCTGTTGTGAGCTGCGGTGGAGAGTGATGTAGAGGGGTGATTCCCCTTGTGCTCCTTGAAAATGCCTTTATCGTCTATTTTTCCGAGCCTCCCCACAACTCTGTTCCCGTTCGTCCTGTAGATTTTCCGGTACGTGTGCTCGGCTTGCCCCACTTGGTGTCGTAACAGGTGCGCCGATTTTGCGACATCGTCTGCGGACAAATTATAAAGCAGCAAGTTTCTCCACTCCGCGGACGCCGCTGCAAAGGCGTTCAACACCCAGCACGCTGCCTCCTCGCAACCGAGCTCGCCTGTCAGGGTGACCAGGTCCTTGAGCACGCACATTCCGTCCAGTCTTTTCTGTCAGAATCCCAGTCACTAGACCATTGGGATAAAATGGCTTGTTAAGTAGCGGATAAGTGCGCCCATAACCCCCCAGGACAACGAGCCTTTAACCCTTCTCTAGGATCAATCGGGGATCACCAGTGGACCTCTGACACCCCCTCGCACTGGGATGCCCGAAGTGCACACACTAGGATTCGAACCCGAGACCGCTCTGATACCATGTCAGAATCCCAGTCACTAGACCATTGGGATAAAAGGGCTTGTTAAGTAGCGGGTCGGTGTGCCCATAACCCCCCAGGACAACGAGCCTGTAACCCTTCCCTAGGATCAATCGGGGATCACCAGTGGACCTCTGATTTTTTTCGGACCAGATCCCCCATTTTCATGCCCAATAACACCGCGGAGCCGCTTTGGTTCCCGAAAGGACTTACGCCCCTGAAGAGAATCCGTCGGTTAAAAGCCAGGTGCATCTGCTCCGCTTCCCACCGGCACTTCGGCTCAGGCTGTGTGCTGAACGAGGTTTCCCAAAACACCTCCAGCATATCCTTCTATCTTTTGTTGAGCAGGAAGTTCTGCGCGAAGATCGTATCCAACCGTAGCGACATCTGTGCCGCCTTCAGCGCCAGCCACTTCTTTGCTGAGTTTGGCATCGTCACCGTTGGGCCCACGTTTTGTACCATGATGCCGTCGAACCGCTTCTTAGGGCATATCAACCCCACCCCTCCTTCCTCCCTTGGTGTGCAGATTAAATCGTAATTCCTGAGAATGAAGTGCCTCTCCTCCGTCGCTTGTCCAGCAGAGACAAAATAGTGGCAGATCTTCTAGATTTTCGTCCATATTTCTTTCAGTGGTGGGTATAAATGTGCGTGGAAGAGAAATATTGGTGTGATGTAGCTGTTTATAGTTGGGACCCTCGCCGTTGTTGTAAGACGCTGCGTTTCCCAGCGAGCTAGCTCCTCTCTTGCCCTGTCCAACGCCTTGTCCCAGGATGGTAGCGGGTTCCCAATTGGCGTGATCCACACGCCTAGCAGTTGCCCCGGTTCGTCCATCCTCGCCCATTTGTACTACAGATTCTCTGGCAGTTGGCCCCCTCTGTTCCTCCCGAGTGGGAAGACCACCGTCTTGCCGTGATTCACTTTCAGTTCGGATGTCCTCCCGAAGTCCTCAAGAACCTCGCTGCCGCTACCAGCTGCTGCTCTTTCCCTTGCAGCAGCAGGGAGGTGTCGTCAGCGTACCCCAGGTACGCCAACTTCTCCAACCCCGCATCGCCAATTCCCAGCTTTCGCCTCCTGGCATAGCGGCTCCACCCAGCCATGCCGCACCCCTTTTTCCACCGCCACTGTATCTCCTGTCCACCCATTAACATGAAATCTGGTTCATGCGCCCTCTTGCAGGCCCTTAGTCCAAGATGTCAAACTTATGTGCTATAGTATGTTTAGGCTGTAGTGGGGTAGTTCATATAGGGTACAACACTTTTAGGTTTCCCACTTGTACCCACCTGCTTGCTAGTTCAGTCATTCATTCGTTCACTATTCTGACATGGTATTCTGAGCAGGTTCCCTAGTGGGAACGTTTTTTTTTTTAGGGCCCACCACAATTTTTTTTTCCTGCCCTGCCCGAAGCGCGCCTCGCGCCCTGCCCTAGTACGGCCCGTTGCGGCCCTGTCACATTTATATGACATAGCTACTGTAGGCTATAGTGGGGTAGCACATATGGGGTACAGTTTTCAGGGTTTGCATTTGTACCCACTTTCCCTTAGTCAATTCATTCTCGTTCAATTTCACATGGTATAGAGCAGGTTCCCATGTGGGAACTGTTCCTAGGGCCCACCGATTTTTTTTTTTCCTGCCCGGAGCGCGCTCAGCCTCTGCCCGAGTCGCGCTCCCCCCCTTACGACCCCGTCGCGCCGCCCTCGCGGCCCCATCACGTCGCGCCGCCCTCGCGGCCTCGTCGCACCGCCTACGCGGCCCCGTTCCGCCGCCCTCGTGGCCCCATCGCGTCGCGCCGCCCTCGCGGCCCTTTCGCGCCCCCCCCTTTCTGCGGCCCGTCGCCGCCTCTCCCCTTGCGGCCCGTCGCCGCCTCCCCCCTCGCGGCCCGTCGCCGCTTCTTACAGCGGCCCCACCGACCCCGCGCGCGCCGCCCTAGCGGCCTCTTGCGCCGCCCGTCGGCCCCGCTTGCCGCCCTTGCGGCCCTTCGAGCCGCCCGTCGGCCCACCGTGAGCCGCCCTCGCGGCATCGACGCCGCCCTTCCCGGCCCCGACGCCACCTCGGCTGGCCCCGGCGCCAGCTCCTCCGGCCCCGGCGCCTGCTCCTACGGCCCCGGCGCCTGCTCCTACGGCCCCGGCGCCGCCCTTCCCGGCTCCGACGCCGCCCCCCACCAGCCCCTCCGCCGTCCCTGATCAGGAGCCGCAGCCGCCAAGCCGCCCAGCGACCGAGCCGCCGGGCCGCCGAGCCGCCCCGCAACCGAGCAGCCGAGCCGCCCAGCCGCCGAGCCGCCCAGCAGCAGAGCCACCCGAGCCGCCGAGCCGCCGAGCCGCCCTGCCGCCGAGCCACCCGAGTCGCCGAGCCGCCCAGCAGCCGAGCCGCCCAGCAGCCGAGCCGCCCTGCCGCCGAGCAGCCGAGTCGCCGAGCCGCCCTGCAGCCGAGCCGCCCAGCCGCCGAGTCGCCGCGCCGCCCTGCAGCCGAGCCCCCCCCGAGCCGCCCTGTCCGGTAAGAGCAGCGCCTCTCTCACAGCACTGCCCTCACCCTACTGTCTGCGCTGCTAGTCTACTGCTGTCATGGCTACCCCTAGTGTCCTCGCTTTTGACGCTGAGGGTCGGGCCATTGACTTTGAAGTCTGGATAGATGACCTGCAGCTTTTCTTACAGTGCGATAGGGCAGACGGCCTCTCCCTCTTTGACCTCACTTCTGGTGCCTCTCCTGCCCCCGCTGCTGATGCTGACGCCACTGTTCGCTCCCAGTGGGCCACGCGCGATGCTGCTGCACGTCTTGCTGTGCGTCGCCACCTGCCTACCTCTGAGCGTGCGCACTTTAGCCAGTACAAGAGTGCTCAGACCTTGTACGACGCTGTAGTTGCACGCTACTCCTCCCCTGCCACTGCTGCACTGAGCCGCCTCATGCTACCGTACCTCTTCCCTGACCTTGCTGCCTTTCCCACAGTCGCTGACCTCATTACGCACCTCCGCACTAGTGACACTCGCTACCGCGCTGCGCTTCCTGCTGAGTTCTGCGCCAAGAACCCCCCCCCCATGTACATCACCCTCTACTACATAGTCACCCGTCTCCCTGACTCCCTTCGCGTAGTCAGGGACCACTTCCTCTCGGTTTGCCCCACCACTCTCACCGTTGACCTCCTCGAGAAGGCCCTCCTAGCAGCAGAAAAGAGCATAGTAGCTGTAGGAGCCTCTCGTGGTGACCCTCGCACCCCCATCTTTGAGGGGTGTTCCCCCTCCCCTCTTTTGCCCTCTGTTGCCTCTGCTGCTGCGGCCGACCTCGCTGGTCTGGAGTCGGTTGGTGCAGCGTCTACCCCTAGCGGGAGACGCCGCCCTGGCAAGGGCAAGGGGGGCAGGGGCGCTGGAGGAGCTAGCGGGGGCGGTGGAGGCGGCGGTGGAGGCGGTGGAGGGGGTGGGGGTGGCGGTGGGGGTGGTGGCGGGGGTGGAGGGGTCGGTGGCGGCAGTGGAGGCGGAGGCGGCGGCGGCGGTGGCGGTGGGAGCGGAGGTGGCGGCGGTGGAGGAGGAGGCGGCGGAGGAGGTGGAGCTGGTCGGGGTGGCGCTGCGCAGAGGGTCGGCTCCGGTGGTGGTCAGCGCCAGCAGCAGCAGCAGCAGCAGCAGCAGCAGCAGCGCACTCGTGACATCCCCTCCCCTCAGCAGCTCCGTGAGTGGTACACTGCACGCCAGAGGGGTGGGGGTACTGGTCCGTGCACCTACGTCCTACGCACCGGCGACCGCGCGGGTGAGCAGTGCGGGGGTGCGCACTCCACCCAGCGCTGCTTTGGCCGCCTGACGGACGCTTGGCGTCACCAGTTCCCTGAGGCCACTGAGATCCCCCGCTGGGGTGAGCTGTCTAGGGCGGGTGTAGCTGTCTTTGACCTTGACTTTGATGCTATTCTTGCTGCCATGTATACTGTGACTATTAGTGATGAGGGTGACTGTTACCGGTGTTTTCCGCCCGACCCGGGCATTGAGACTGCTGCTCTAGGTACTGGTGAGGCTGCTGCTCTAGGTGCTAGCGAGGCTGCTGCTCTAGGTGCGTCTGCTCCCTCAGGTGCTGGTGAGTCTGCTCTCTCAGGTTCTGCATCGGCTTCGGCCTCCCACACCTTCACCCTTGACTCGGGGGCTTCTCGCTCCTTCTTTCGAGACCGCACCACACTCACGCCGCTTGGCCGGCCAGTTGGAGTCTCTCTGGCAGACCCCTCTGGGGGTCCTGTCCTTGCTCACTTCTCCACTGTCCTCCCGTGTCCGGCGGCCCCCTCTGGCACCCTGTCTGGTCTTTACCTCCCCTCGTTCTCTACGAACTTGGTGAGTGGTGCTGACCTACAGGATGCGGGGGTTCACCAGTTCACTCCTGCGAGTCAGCGGGTGACCCACTGCACGGACGCTCGGACAGGCCGACACCTGGCCACGTTTACTCGTCGGCCGGGGTCGAGCCTGTACACACTGACCACTGCGTCTCCTCCAGTCACTCTGTCTGGTCAGGTAGCTGCGTCGGGTCAGGTGTTTGCTGCAGCGTCCAGGTCTGGTCCTGAGTCTGCCCCCTGTTCGTGTCGCCTCCTGTCTCACGAGACTCTCCTCTGGCACCACCGCCTTGGTCACCCCTCCCTGCTTCGTCTCCGAGGCATGGCCTCCCGTGTCCTTGTCTCTGGTCTT